GAACTAAAGTATTAATAAGTGATAAATTTCTTATGACCTAACTCCAAAAAATTGTCAATATTATAATTCAAAACGCCTGAATTTTACCACAAATACTGCCCACATTAATCCACCAGTTGCCTGGAAAAAGAGATCAACTTTTGTTTTCTTTATTGCCAACCTATTACAACGATCGGACAAAGAATAGTTAAAGAGATCGATTTGAGCATGCCATAGCTAGCTTGTCTTCAAATATCATATTGCACTTCTATAGAGTTTAGGTATTTGATATTTCTCCACTCAAATTGTGGAGACATTTATTAATTCAAAGCTTTAATTAAAGTCCAAACCGTTTGCTAGAAAACTTCCAAAGATTCATATCTGGAATTCTCTCTTATTGGTATTGAAGTAGAAAGGATCCACACATATCATCTGTTGTCTATGTTTTGATTTCATTGGAGAGTTGGAGGTCTGCTTTCCCTTTTTCTTTTTCCTTTTCTCTACTCGGTGATGAGCAGTATTACCCTTTTGTATAATATGTTGCACGTTATAAACGATCTGTGCCATTCTGCTTTATTCTCTTGAGCTCACGTCAATCACTTTCAAAAAGCGCATGTATCAGCTCAACCAGAACGTCTATACGAGATCCAAACTTGGAAGATAATTAAGATATTAAATATTAAAATCTTATCCTCCGAGCTATGCAAATGCGGTTTATTGGTATTTCAAGGAAGTATAGCAAGTTAATAAGATGAACGATCAACATTCCTTCACAACTACATACGCATATAGCTTTCATTTGCTGTTGAGCTCAGTATCAAGGCACATATAAAGGGCACTATAAGAGCCAAATAACCACAGCCAATAAGTCATATACCAGAGCAGATGCATGCTCTAGCTTGTGCTTCAAAATATTATTGAATGCTAAAGGGACTTTGGCTAGGTATCATATGCTTTGTGGCCACTGATCAGAATATGTGGGAGTAGTACCCATCAAAAGATTCAGATTTGGAATCCTCTTTAGTGGTGAAGTGAGTGGGGGCACACACACACACACACATATATATATATATATTCTGCTTTCCCTTTTTTCTTCTTTACAAAATAGTGATGAACTCCATTGCCCTTCAGTGATGCGGTTTATTATAGAAGAGGTGTGGTCTACTGCTTAAATCTAATAGTTGTTGGACAGGAAGGAAATCTCCTCTTACTGTATAGTATCATCCAAATCAAATGTTTTGGACACACATTTTTCATCAAAGAATCATTCAGATCCTCAGCTCATTAATATTAATTCCCACAAGGGATCATGATTTTCTTTCTAATGATCGTCAGTCTCTTTATTAGCTCCTTTTTTTTTTTATTAGCTCCTATTTGTTGTGTACATTATAGTGAAATGTGGTAGTTATTTGTACCATCATAATGACTGGTCTGCACAATGAAAATCACTTAGGTGATGCTAAATGATCCCATTAGTGCTAAATATAATCGATTGCGTGTTGAAAGATTGCAAATTCTGGCTAACCAAGTGTTCGGACACTTGGGTTCATTAGACATACATGGATGCCAATTCTGGTACTAATTATTTTTGCAAAAACGGGGGTTTGCTCAACATGAAGATTTTGTTTTCAATATCGAACACCATTCCAGTATTGGGGCAATCTTTCTCCATGAAGCTTGAGCAAGTACTTTCCTCGTCATCTTATGAAATTAGTTTCATCCGTGAAGAAAATTTTCAATTTCAAAAAAGAAAAGACACTATAGTGCGCTTCTATTGCGTACGTTGTAACAACCTAATCACTTCACACCCCTAGAGCGAGAGAGATAGACCCAACGAGCTTTGAAGAGAGAACTCTTGGGAAAGGTCTATGTCCTGAAATTACATTGACAAATATAGTAACATAACATTAACACATAGATAATGATAAAATGAACACAAACCGATTTCAATAAAGTAATTGCATCAACGGCCCAAGTAATTGCCTCATGGGAAAGGCGTATGTCCAGAAACCAGTGGAAATCTCCTAGTGGATCACCAGGCCAGGGCCATGGTCATGTTTCATTTGGGTGACTAGTCCTGCGGTCAAATTTATTAGGAGAGCCTTTAGCTTTCTAAGGCCCCATGGGGCAGCCCAAAAAAATGGCCCAAAAAAGTTGAAAAATAAGAAAATAGCCGAAGGATGANAGTGATGCGGTTTATTATAGAAGAGGTGTGGTCTACTGCTTAAATCTAATAGTTGTTGGACAGGAAGGAAATCTCCTCTTACTGTATAGTATCATCCAAATCAAATGTTTTGGACACACATTTTTCATCAAAGAATCATTCAGATCCTCAGCTCATTAATATTAATTCCCACAAGGGATCATGATTTTCTTTCTAATGATCGTCAGTCTCTTTATTAGCTCCTTTTTTTTTTTATTAGCTCCTATTTGTTGTGTACATTATAGTGAAATGTGGTAGTTATTTGTACCATCATAATGACTGGTCTGCACAATGAAAATCACTTAGGTGATGCTAAATGATCCCATTAGTGCTAAATATAATCGATTGCGTGTTGAAAGATTGCAAATTCTGGCTAACCAAGTGTTCGGACACTTGGGTTCATTAGACATACATGGATGCCAATTCTGGTACTAATTATTTTTGCAAAAACGGGGGTTTGCTCAACATGAAGATTTTGTTTTCAATATCGAACACCATTCCAGTATTGGGGCAATCTTTCTCCATGAAGCTTGAGCAAGTACTTTCCTCGTCATCTTATGAAATTAGTTTCATCCGTGAAGAAAATTTTCAATTTCAAAAAAGAAAAGACACTATAGTGCGCTTCTATTGCGTACGTTGTAACAACCTAATCACTTCACACCCCTAGAGCGAGAGAGATAGACCCAACGAGCTTTGAAGAGAGAACTCTTGGGAAAGGTCTATGTCCTGAAATTACATTGACAAATATAGTAACATAACATTAACACATAGATAATGATAAAATGAACACAAACCGATTTCAATAAAGTAATTGCATCAACGGCCCAAGTAATTGCCTCATGGGAAAGGCGTATGTCCAGAAACCAGTGGAAATCTCCTAGTGGATCACCAGGCCAGGGCCATGGTCATGTTTCATTTGGGTGACTAGTCCTGCGGTCAAATTTATTAGGAGAGCCTTTAGCTTTCTAAGGCCCCATGGGGCAGCCCAAAAAAATGGCCCAAAAAAGTTGAAAAATAAGAAAATAGCCGAAGGATGACGCCCACCGTGGGGTTCGAACCCACGACCACAAGGTTAAGAGCCTTGCGCTCTACCAACTGAGCTAGACGGGCTTACTGAAAGTTCGAGAAAACTAAATATATTAAACAATATTTTAAATAATTGATTGTTCCAATGTTTTACTCCTCTACTGTTCTTTTTAATTATTTTCCATTAATTTTTGGAAACTCTAATTTCACTGGAGCCCTCCACCGTCCATTCCATTCCCATCAACGGCTGTGGTACATTCGTCGCGTTACATGCCTATTTCCATTTTATTAAAAAAAATATATAATCGTACACACTATTTTCTCTCACTGCTGCCTCTGAAAGTACTCTGCGCGCCATCTCTCCCTCCCTCCCTCTGGTTCGAAAATCTTTTCAAATATCTCTCATTCATGTCAATCTTGGAAATCTTTCTATAGATGTTCTTTCAGCCGATTCATTCAGCTTCAAACTGGTAAGTACAGTCTCTGATCGTCAATTGTTTCACAGAGCTAAAGTCTAGATTTTGATACATTGTTGTTATTTGTTACCATCATTGCCATTGTCTTTGTAAGGAGCAAAACTCTCTATTAAGGATTTCGGCTTGACCTGAGTTAATCCACGCGGCGCGATCTCTCAATAGTCTTTATCTCTCAGTGTCCGCAAGAGTTTCGTCTCACATCGACTGAGAGTTGTCTCAAGTGCCTAGTGAGTACCTTCTCCTTTGAGTGTAAGAGCTTATATGTGAGGGGAGAGATGACTCTCAGTCGATGTGAGACGAAGCTCATGCGAGCACTGTAAAGGGTAAAACTCTCTATTAAAGATTTCGATTTGACCTGAATTAACCCACGCGGGCGATCCCCAATAGTCTTTACCTCTCAGTACCCGCAAGAGCTTCGTCTCACTTCGACTGAGAGTCGTCTCCCTTCCTCGTATATAAGCCCTTACACTCAAAGGAGGAGGTACTCACTAGGCACCTGATCTAAGAATTGTCTTTCCCCCCTCGCATATAAGTCCTTACACTCAAAGGAGCAGTACCCACTAAGCACCTGATCTAGGAGTCGTCTTCCCCCCTCTCATATAAACCCTTACACTCAAAAGAAGAGGTAAAGACTACTGGATGGTCGTTTGGCACATGTCAGGTCAGCCAAAATCTTTTCGGAGGAAAGCAATCATGTCCACCAAAAGACGCCTTTCTGTAAGGGGTAGAACCCTCCATTAACGATTTTGGCTAGAATCCTCTAATAATGATTTCGGTTTGACCTGAGTTAACCCATGCAGGCGATTCCCTAATAACCTTTATCGCTCAGTACTCACAGGAGCTTGAATTTCGACTTGGCCTGGGTTAACTCATGCGGGCGACTTCCTAATAACCTTTATGTCTCCGTGCTTATAGGAGTTTCGCCCCACATCAATTGAGAGTTTTCTTCCTCCTTACATATAAGTTTTTATACTCAAAAGAAGAAGTACCCATTAAATATTTTTACGGATACCGAGAAGTAAAGGTTAGTAGAGTGTCGCCTGTGTTTTAACAATCCAAAATCCGGGTTCTACTCTTTACAGTCTTCTTGGAAATCATAACTTTTGTTGTGCATTGCTTAATCACAGGGTGGGTTAGTGTGCATGTGTGGGTATACTCCGTACGGAGCGAACTGAGAAAGGTTTTCGTTCTTGGAGTAAGAATTATTAGGGTTTGATAGGGGTGGGAATTGGAGAATGAGCAATGCCGGTGCTGCATAGTGGAGTGAGCAGAGGCCGGGTGACGAATCAACAGCCTAATCTTGAAACGGACGCGAATCCGATCGAAGGGGAGGCGATTGCTTCGAGGACTAGAAAGAGGAGAGCGGCGGCGGCGGCGGTGGCAGTGGCAGTGGAAGTGGAAGTGAAGAATACTAATATGAGAAAGTAGTTGTTGTAGAGGCACCAGCGGCGGACTTGAGAGCGGTGGAGAAGAGGGCTTTGGAAGAGCCGGGTCGGGTCGGTGGTGGTGGGGGCTGAGGAGGTAGCGGAGCAGCCGATGGATGATAATGATCATTGTGCTCGGAGCTCGGACAAGGCTCATGCCGGGGAAGATGAGGGTAGCACTGCTCCGCTTCCTGAAAAGGTGATACTTTTGATGTGGTGTGTGTATGTGCCCGCTCGTATGTCTATCTGCGTTTTCTTCGTTCGGGGAAAGGGTAATCATAAAGTGATAAATATGACTATCTTCATACTCCACCAGCTCAGACCCAAATTGAAGGCTTATTTGAACTTCGGAGATCTACTGACTTTTTGACCTACAAGAATACGCTGGAAAGGATTTTTGTCATACAACTTCCTAAAATAATAATTCATTATCTATTTGGTGCCTATTTATCATGGGTTTTGGGTTGGAGGAACTATATATATTCCTAGGTTAGTTGTATCTGTATAAAATGATTGCCATTATATTTGAAGCTTCAAACCTACAACTTTGCGATTGTTAATGCAATCTTCTACCTCGCTTATTATATGGCAAAATAAAAAATTTTAACAAATTGGTTGTTTGATTCATGGCAATACATTTTGTATTGGCGACCTTGGCTATTTCTGTTGACCTATACAAGCACTAGTATGTTTTGTTTTATTTATTTGGAGTTTGCGTTACAAAATAGGGCTAATTGATTCACTATATATATATATATACACACACACACAGACATACAAGAAAAAAAAAAGAGTATAAACCTTGAAATAATGTATGAAACACAACCTTATGTTAGTATGAATCACAAACCTTAAAATAATGTATGTAGAAAGGGAAAAATTAGTAAGGAACAAAACACACTAGCCTTGGAGTTCAGCTAATATTAAGTCAAAAGTACCTGGGGTTATCCTGAAAGAGATAAACCTAAATTTGGAAAGGATGACACAACATCAGAAAAATTAAGCCCCCTTGCCTTTATTGAAGTTAGCTTTGGTATGCCCTGAATGAATTGAAAATCTTATTTATCTTATTCATCGCCTTTCATTTGGGTGAGAGCTGAAGGTTGTGGAGGAGTCACTTTGGCTGCTGAATCTTTGTGCTTGTTGATTCTTGAATCAGCTCTTATAGAGCTTGTGCAATGTGTTGCAAACTAATCTGCCTGTATACTTGGATTTTATTTCTAGGTGATCTATCTAGAAATCAACTGGGGTAATATTGAGTACAACTGATTTCTTGAGGACACACCTGTTTTAATATAGGTAAAGAGATCTATTGTGGGAGACATCTAATATGCAGCTCTATTCCCAAGGTGCTGCATCCTGATTTTTTTGCCCTTGCATGGGTATCCCAAACCAAAAATTCCAAAGTCAGTGGAAGCTTGTGAGAATATCTAGAGATTTGTCAGTTATCTAGATCTATTATATGGAACGAATTGCTCATTTTCAGGCTGGAATGAATGTAACAATAAATTGTTTAGCTGACATTTTTTGTAGCAAGCTGGAATGTGACTAGAAAGAAACATATGTCTTTTTGCTTTATGGATTGGACTGCATTGGTACATTCTTGGTAGAATTGAATAAATTTGGTATTTATAGTTGAATTTTCTGAATCTAGAAAAAAGACCTGTTTCTTTTAGCTTTTTGTGTGGTTGCCGGGGGAGGTTTAACCCGTGATTTGATGATTCTATGCCAACTGTTATGTTTTCCTGTTCTGTGTAGCACAAACATTTCTTGAGTGGAGTCTTTATGTGTCAACATGCGTAGACAGTATAATCACGTCTGACACTCTGACCCTACCCTTAAGGTTTTGCAGTAGTTGTGAATATATCTTCACATGATAGTCATGGTCAATATATGTCAACAAAATAATAAAAACAGAATATACTGGTTGATATAAATGCCACGTGGGTGGCCCTTAATAAAAATCTGGGAGAATTAAATATTAAGCTAAAAGTGGGAGAAATTTTGGACCATATTGAACGAAGAAGGATCTTAGATGTGATCTTATTTTGGGAGAATTTGGGCTAATAGTAAGAAAAATTTTGATGTGCGTTTGATGATATACAATTTTAATAGTAGCAATTATTTTTTTGGTTTTTACACTTCAGGTTCAGGTTGGTGGTTCCCCTTTGTACCAAGTAGAAAAAAAGCTTGGTAAGGGAGGTTTTGGACAAGTGCATGTAGGTCGTCGTGTCACTGAGAATCTGGCTGGTCTTAGAATGGGCCCTGTTGAAGTATGTAGCATATAGCTTTTCGTGTTTAAATAGTTTAGCTCTTCATCTTCTTTACAAAATTATAGCCTTTGTATTTCAGGTGGCCTTAAAATTTGAGCATCGAAGTAGTAAAGGATGTCCTTCTGGAGCACCATATGAGTGGCAAGTTTACAAGTAAGGATGGTCTTATAGTATTTCTGTTTGGAGGTTCGCTTTTGTTATGTGCTTGAATTTATCCCTCTTTTTTTTCATTTGCACAGCATTCTTGGTGGCAGTCATGGTGTACCACATGTACACTTCAAGGGTCGACAAGGTGACCATTATATAATGGTATGGCATCACTACTATTATCTGCTGCTTTTATTCAATGGAGGTGTATTTTTGTTTTAATCCGTGTCTTTATGCTTCTAGATTAGTTATACAAGAGAATTCCCTAATTTCTGCAGGTTATGGATATGCTAGGACCAAGCTTGTGGGATTTTTGGAACAAAAACTCTCGCACGTGTGTAAATAATTGGTTACAAAATCATGTGTCTTTGGCTCTATATTATATCGTATGATAATGGTTTTCCATAGCCTAACTAGGGCTCTTCTTTGTTCTTAATGTATCACTCAGGATATCCGTTGATGTGGTATCATGCATTGCCATTGAAGCAATATCTATACTGGAGAAGATGCACTCTAGAGGGTGAGGACTCTTCATTAGTCGCTTCTTGCATTCCCCTTTGATTTTTTATTTATTTTTTTTTTCATTTGTTTTTTTGTCCTTTTGTTTTGACTTGGTTTAGTCTATGGAGTAAAATCTTATGGGAACGTATAATTTGTTTCCCTTTTATTCTGTGTATTTTTGGCTTTCCCCTCTTTTTTTCCTTCCATTTTTTCTTATGTATCTGATGCAATCTTCTGTAAACAAATAATTATTTTCTTTGTCTGTTAGGATATTCTATAATCTTTGCATTCTTGCTAAAATCATATTAGTCATCTGATAGATGAATTTTTCCTTAACTGTTGTTTAATGTGTAGAATTTTTAGTATAGCAGATTGAGAGTCGCGGACACACGACACGGACACAGGACACAAACATGACACGACACGGACATATGGACACAATTTATGTTTATAAAAATTCAGGTGTGATGGGAACACATTAAATGGTATATATATATTTTTTATAATTTTATGGATGACCATATTAAAAAACATTGAAATTCATAAAATTCGGAATAAAAAAAACATAAATCCCAACAATATTAGTAAGATATCACCCATGCAAAACAATTAAATACAAAATCAAGTAGTAACTATAAATAGCATTCTAGTTCAATCATGAAACACATAATTTATTAAAAATCTCTTTAATTAAAACAAGAAATATTATCCATCCACTAAAACAAAAAATCTCATTTCAATGATCATTTTATTTATTTGAAAAGAAATTTCAACCTATCGTTTATCTCGATTTCAATTGACTCATTGCCACCATAACCTCCATCACCATCATTGTTGAGGAATGAGGATCATGGTCCAATTCTGAAATCAAGTGAAAATTGTGCAATCTCAAGCTCTCCGACATCCTCAAATAAATCAAAAGCAGCTCTAACAATATTCTACATTTTGGTTTTTCTTTGCACATATTTTGGGGTTCTTCTTATAGATGGTGGTGATCATTGTGAATGAAAATCAAGTCTTTCTACATGTTTTGATGTCATCTTATTCTTTATGACCGAGTGAACAGTGGAATAAGTGCTAAAATTCTTCTCATAACATGGAGGTGAGGGTTGCACAAGTATGTACAAAGCTAGGTCATTTGGACCATAATTGACCCACCAAATTTTGGGATCCATTTCACAAAGAACACAAATGAAATCAGTATCCCCAAACTTTGCCGTCTTACTCGAGGAACTCAATTTGGAATCTTGTGATGTCACTAATCAACAAAGTGCCTTGAATAGGAAATGCAATAAATAAAGATTAGTCCAAGAATATAATTTAGGATTTGGAGAGTAGAAGGCCCTGGAGTTAGTGAATGAGCTAAGCAATGGAGTGGAGTGTTGTTTTCGGTCAAACAATCTACAAGAGTTTTTTGCACCACTTCGTAAAGGGAAGATGACTCCTCAAGACATTTTCCTTCATTCCTATATATTATAACAACTCTCTCTCTCTCTCACACACACACACACATGCACGCACGCGCATGTACACACTTTCTTTTGACCTTATTTGATGAGATAATATATATATATATTTTTTATAATTTTTATTATCTTTTTTTTTTGGGGGGGGGTGGGGAAAGATAATAAATGCTTCTCTTGTCAGACATTTATATAAACTAGTTGGTGCACACGTGCGTTGCATGTGGACCATTACAAGTAGGGGTGTCAATCGTGTTGTGTTCGTGTGACCCACATGTCGTGTTGTTCGTGTCGTGCCCGTGTTAAGATTCACGGAAAAAAAATCTATTTAGTGTGTTCTTAGTGTTAAATATTAGTTTAGACTATTTATTTTGCGTATTTAATAATTGTGTCAATTTTATTATCGTTTGTGTCGAGTTCACATCAACGGGTCAAAGTTGACGCCCCAAATTATGAGTATCAAATATTACTTTACATTGATGTGAAAAATTATGAACTACCATATACCATTTAGATTAATCATTTCTTTGTCAACTTTCATAGAAAAGTTTTTGAACTCTTTTGCTATTAGATGTCAACAATGAGTTAGGTGGTATGCATTGTTTAGTGGAAATAGATAGTTAATAACCAAGAAGGAAAATTAGTTTTTCAACAAGAAACTTTGATGATTTAGAAAACTTCAACAAAACCAATAGGAGAATTATTACATGTTTCTAGAGTTAGATCATTTGAGAACTCCTCGGTTGTGCTTGTTATCATCTTTCCTAACTATTGTGAGTATGTTGCACGGGTGGTGGCTATTGTCATTGCACTTTAGTTACAAAAGCCATCAAACATTCTTTCCTTTCTTCTATGGCATAACAAACCTAAATTAACATAATTACTCATAACAAAATAAAAAAATAATTCTTGTCCTATGATAATTTTTTAGCCAAAGAAAATTCAATGTCTTTTGTTGTAATCCAAACTAACGGAAAATTAATAGCTTATTATAGGCAAAGTTATGTAGAAAATCTCTGTAATAGCTTATAATAGCCAACTTAAGAATATGATTTTCTCATCAAACTCCGTTTGATTTTAAGTACCTGGTATTCTTATTACAATACTATAATCACTAAAATCTAAATTTACTTATTTCTAAATAAATATTCAAATTAATATTTACTTAAATAAACTTGATACTACAATTATCATTTTTTTTTTGAAGGCAATAATACAATTATCTTATTGAGTAGAAAATATAGAAACCGATGTTCAATTTCACTTAGTTGAGAATCTAAAAATCAACTTTCAAGTTTCTGTTGGGCTCTTGTATTTTTTCAGCAACTAAACAAAAGTGTAGTTCACATAAAATTAGATGTACAACCAAACAAACAAAAATTCATAGCGTTATAACATATACTTGAATTTCGTCATTTGAGTTCAAGAGGCACATAAGCTTTTTGCTTCTTATTTCCAAAGGTGGTAGCTACTTGGACAATAGCTAAATTATCAACTTGTGCAGCTGGAAAGGCAAGAAAGATTTTTGAATCAAGAATTGTCAACCTCAAATAAACCGCTAATCAAATACATGTGCAACTATAGAAGCAGTTTCCAAATGGAAATACTAAACCTTGAGATTATGGTTTCAAAATATAGTAACCAATCACACATTTGGAAATATTTAGACCTAGATTTGGTATAGTCATTAGACGAAAAAGAGTCATTGTCGATGAACTGAAGCTAGGACATAGCACAAGTAAACAAATAGCTTACTTGGCTCTTTTTTATTCGTAGAGCTCTTACTGCACTACGCCACTGTTGATTATGCTCTTAGTTTTTTAAAATGGATTCTTAAACAATTGCAAAATCATGACAAGTTTCACTCAATCAAAGATGACCAAAAAGAAAAAAAAAACTCGCCATACCTCAAGTTTGGAGCTTCGTACCCTGCAAAACTTTTCAACCCAATAAAGTAATTAAACTCTTGAATAAGCTATCACACTGAAAATCAAATAAAGGAGCATTGCCAATTAGGATCCCACTAATCAAGGGGGTTGGGAGAGATGGAAGATAAAGCCCCAACCTTTGGGATCCAAATCCTCTCCATTATATCACCTATTGTGTACGAACCTAAATTTGTCTGTAAGAGTCAAACAATAATAATGGAATAAAAAAATTGTGCAATCCAAGTGTAGATAGAAAAAGTGCTGTTAAGTACCTACATACAAACTGCTCCTGTCTAATGAACAAAACTGCAACTTTCTGCTTTAGGAAAATAAAAATAACTCAAGACTTGTTGTCTGCAATTCCTTCGAATAATCTGAAACACACAATACCAATGAATATGAAATACAAAATACCAAACAAAATTTAAAAACATGAGGGACGATCAGGATACCATAGCAGAGAAAGGGAGAAGGACTTCATGATATAAGAATCAATATGTAAATAATTGATGTAAAGAGAAGCTTGGAGGAAGAGGGGGAAGTTGAACAGAGGTGGATGTCTGTTTTTTTTTTTTACTCTGTAATCAATGCGTAGGGAAGAGAGAGGGAGAAGGGGGGGAGTGTCTGTTCATTTTTTTCCTGGGCAGTGAATGCGCACGAGAGAGAGAGAGAGAGAGAGAGAGGAACTACTGTTGAAAAGTGAAGTAGCAGGTTTATTAGGATAAGGATGTGCAATTAATTTTGAAGGATAATGATGTCAAGGATATGAACGAAATAATTACATTTTTGTAGGGTATAGTTGGAAAAAAAATGTTTTTCAAGTATTCTAACATTTTAAAGTAGTATAAATATAATCTAAGTCCAATCTATGTTATTCTATGTTGTGACCTTGTTTTCGACAATTATAGAATGTCACCGTGTTTATATTTTTGAAAATAACAGATGACCCCCTAGGCATCCAGAACGTATGGGGACATGTTTGGAACGTGTGCTAAATTTTAAAAAATGAGAAAAAAAGTTACGCACTTTTTGGTTTGCCCATCACATGTCTCAGACATAGACATATCCATGTTCCAGATGTGTCAGTGAGCCAAAATATAGGTATATTGCGGAGCACCAAAGGCTGCGGCCATCCTATAACAATATGTGGTGAATGCTATACCCAGGGTGTAGGGTTCCATGTTTGATGCTTTTGATATATTTGACAAATTGCAGCTTTGTATGACAGCCCAATTCCACTTGAGAGAAATCTGTTATCTTGAAACTGTTTATGATAATGCCTCATTTCACTAATTTGCAAGAACTTTGGCAGGTATGTGCACGGGGATGTGAAACCTGAGAACTTTTTGCTTGGTCCTCCAGGGACTCCTGATGAGAAAAAGCTTTTTCTAGTTGATCTTGGATTAGGTATTTCGTTGATCCTATATTCTTAGTTTGCAGATATCATTCTGCAAAATATCTCACCAAGTTTAATCATTTGGGCTGTCAGCTACTAGATGGAGAGATCGTTCAACTGATCTGCATATCGAGTATGACCAAAGGCCTGATGTTTTCAGGTACATCATTTGATCATATTTTGTGGATCATGTTAATTAAGTTCTCTGACCCAAGGCCCTTTTTATATTCATTCGTAAACATTGTTGCTCCATGGTTATTTTAGCATTCTGTTCTGGCAGGGGAACAGTTCGATATGCAAGTGTGCATGCTCATTTAGGCAGAACTGCCAGCAGGAGAGATGATCTCGAATCGCTTGCTTACACACTTATTTTCCTTCTCCGTGGTCGTCTGCCTTGGCAAGGACTCCAGGTATCCTTTCTTAATCACCATTAAAAATTTGCTTTCGGTGTCACCTATAAATTTTTTACAATATGTTGGTGTTCTTAGGGTGAGAATAAAGGGTTTCTTGTTTGCAAAATGAAGATGACTACTTCTTTGGAGACTCTATGTTCCTTATGTCCACAGCCCTTCAGACTGTTTATGGAATATGTGGTGAACTTGAAATTTGATGAGGAACCCAACTATGCTAAATATGTCGCCCTCTTTGATGGGATCGTCGGCCCAAATCCAGATATCAGGCCGATTAACACTGATGGTGCACAGAAGGTGTTGTCAATGTCCTTTTGTATTCTGTAATGTTCCATTTCAAGCTAAAGTTCTTAGCTAATTTAAACATTATGTGCCGTGTATTATTCTCGATTTTTATCTCAACATTGTTGCTGCTTATCGTTGTCGGATATGTCTAACTTGAACTTTATGCCATATGAAGCTCATATACCAGGTTGGTCATAAGAGAGGTCGGTTGAGTTCTGAGGACGAGGAAGACAAACAACCCAAGAAGAGGGTTCGAATGGGGGTGCCTGTTGCACAATGGATAAGCGTTTATAATGGTCGTCGACCAATGAAGCAAAGGTATATTTTCACCTCAAGTCTTTTCTCCAAAAAGGGCCAGGGGTTAATATTTGTCTTAAATGAAGAATGGTGAGGATGAAAATTGCAGTTTGTAAAAATGAATAGTGTGGTTTAAGATGAGGCTTTGTGCATTACACTTTGCTGTAGATATCACTATAATGTGGCGGATGCGAGGCTTTCCCAGCACATTGAGAAGGGAAATGAGGATGGTTTGTTTATCAGTAGTGTAGCATCTTGTCAAAATCTGTGGGCACTCATCATGGATGCAGGCACTGGCTTTACCTCGCAAGTTTTTAAACTCTCACCCTACTTTCTTCACAAGGTGCACTCTAGTATTATCATTCAACCTAAATCAACTTTTTTTTTTTTGGGTTGTTTTTTCCTTTAATGATGCCGAATTATTTGATGGCTGACCTTTAATCTTATGTTGCTTAAGTTTAAAGAAGTAAGTTTCTGAATCTGTTGGCTGTTTGAAGGAATGGATAATGGAGCAGTGGGAAAATAACTACTATATCAGTGCGATCGCTGGAGCATTAAATGGGAGCTCGTTGGTAGTAATGTCAAAGGGTTAGTCTTAAGATGTTGGGTGGATGGATTCTTCTGTTTACATATATTGATAATTTTCTTGACCATGACTAAGTTGAATCCAGGTACAAAATATTTGCAGCAGTCCTACAAAATTAGTGATTCATTTCCTTTCAAGTGGATAAACAAAAAATGGAAAGAGGGTTTCTATGTTACCTCCATGGCCACCTCAAATGGGAGTAAATGGGGAGTTGTTATGTCTCGTGGTGCAGGATTTTCGGATCAGGTTTTTCTTGGATATACAATTCAAATATCAATGCACTCTCTTTTACCATGGAATATCCAGGGCTGATGTGTGTTTATAATATCAGGTTGTTGAGATAGATTTTCTTTACCCTAGTGAAGGCATTCATTTCCGGTGGGATGATGGATATCGTATTACTGCTACTGCGGCAACTGCGGACCAAACGGCAATTATTCTCAGCGAACCAAGAAGACGGACAATAGATGAAACACAGGAAACACTTCGTACTTCTTCCTTTCCTACTACGCAAATCAAGGTGGAATTTCATTATATGATTTGTTCTCCACTGCCGGTATTATATCCATTTTTGGGGTCTATAATTAACATATGGTTTGGGTCTTGCAGGAGAAATGGGAGAAAAATCTTTATATTGCATCTGTTTGCTATGGTCGAACAGCTTCATAAGCCTGCCAAATTTTTATGAGGCCATCTCTGACATCATCAAAAGATGCTTTCCTGTTAGCTCTTCTCATTGGGCAAACCTGTAGGGAAGTAGAGACTCTGGATTCTGAAAAGGCTTTCAGGCTAGAGAAGTTTTGATGTGCCCAAACTTCAACTGTAGCTGTAGCACATGAACTACAGAGGTAGGGGCTGAAGTAGTGTTAGTTGTGTTGATATTGTATTTAGCTGATGTCCATCATGCCAAAAGCCGAAGAGAATGATGCGTGTGAGCACTTATTGCCCTCCTGTTTGTATGCTCTAGGACAATAAGTGTTTGGATAAGGGCTTTATGCCCTTGTCATTTTTGTGACTACCCCATTTTGCATTATATGGCATTGCATTGGATTCAAATCTGTATAAAACTTAAATTTGGTGTGTTAATGCTTCGGTTTCCTTGTCCCTTGATCTCTTGTATTTCTTATAAGAGGGTAACAAGTATTGGTTATGCTACAGCAGTGGTTTTCTGCCCTGCGTTTCCTTGGCATTTACCTAAAGATGCAGCAGCACTATTATGCTGTCTTCAAGAGCACTACTGTACACGAGGCTTCTATTGCTGCAGGGTCAGTGTAAAGGTCAGATATTCGTCTGCGGATAAAGATTTGTATAAATTCAGGCTGAGTTGAATACTGTTTTAATCACAAAAATTACACATAGCTTCTTGGCCCAAAAAACAAAAAAAAGAGCGGTTACTCAGATTATCACACAGAATTAAAATTGCTTGGTCTCCTGTCACTTGGTGGGTAAATCCTTTGAGCTCTTCAAGACTTGCAAATATAAATCAAAAGATGGTAAAAAAGAGTCAATAAAATGGCCATTATGGCTTGTTGACCAAGGGAAATAGCTTTTCCCTTGTTTTTCTCCACACAGTTGGCAACCTTCGGAGGAGAATAGAGGAAAGCCATTGAAAGACAGTCCTCATCTTCATCCTTAAAGATTGGCATCCCCATCACATGCTTGTATTGCCCACAACTCCATACCTGAGGAAGAATAAAAAATCTTATGAAAAGAAATTATAAATGAGTGCATAGATGGATTCATTAATATGAACAAATTGAGACTGCTATGGCACTTCTGCTTGTTAAGTAGAAGTGTTGTAGTTAGTCTCTGGTCAATAAAAAAAAAAAAAAACAAATTGAGATGGTACAGGACTAATCATTTTTTCCCAGTGGGACAATTGGAAGGTTTATTTCGTGGCTTAGAGAGAGAGAGAGAGAGAGAGATGTCTATTGTACTATATCTCTAGGATATGGTTATTCAAGTCTTGATGGGGCTATACTACCAAGAATGTTGTTGTACTTGTAATTTCCTTTTGAAAGGAAAAGTTATCTTCACATAGTTGTGAAAACTGTAAATACTAGGGGTGGTGTCATGTTCAGATCATATCATTTCGTGTCATTTTATCTTGGATTCATGTTAGTAACAACCTTTTTAATTGTAAAACATTTCATATAATATTAGATCAATAAATGAAAAAATGCATACATTTTCTCCTTATGATTCCAACAAAATCAGTTATAATATTTCATGTAATATTAGGCTAATTATTCCTTGTCTTAAGTGATCATATCATTTTTTGATTTGTATTGTTCTAGGTTGTGTTAATGTGTAAAATTGACACACCTATCCACTATGCTTGCTTTTGCTTCCTCTCTATTGCAACTTTCACATAGCCAGACTTGGTGTAAATCATGTTATTGGAGGCATATAAATTGATCTGCAAGGTGTAGGTTAATTAGTAGAATGCAAGTGTTTTCTACATATTAGAAAATTAGAAGGCCTTTCTTTGTTTGGGGACACAATCAAAACTGTCAAGCAGTCATGCATAAACAGAAGGAGTTTTACCTGCAACTGATCCCCGAATGTGATGACTATGGCATTTTCATCAGGGCAGAAAGACACCCAACCTTTCTTAGAGTACACATGGAACTCCGAGGACCCGTCGCATAGGTGAAAGCATAATGCATGAGACTCAGATGATCCCCTTATCAGCATTCTAATTACGTCGTATCTCAGGGAGCTGACGATGCACTGATCCCCAAGTATATTCCGGCAGTGCTTATAGAGATAACAGAGAGAGCCAACATGTTCTTGATCATGTACTGTTCCATGTTTGTATGTTGATTTTCTTGCACTGTTGTTTTGCAGGACTAGTAGAATTTGTTCAGCCATCTTTTCCATAACAGATGAAAGCTTTTCCATTTTATCACTGCAATATATGATATGTTATGCATGAGATTTTGCTAAAATGATTACATTACATGATAAGCAAGGTCGAATAGTCATATTTATATATATTATATATTATAGTGTACACATGCGCATAATGATGCTTTGTCATAATTACACACACAAAGCCAGCTATAAAAGATAAGTCCAGCTTGCAAGGCTTGCTTTCTTTCTTGGCAATTTCAAGTATAGTATTGCACTGTCTTAAAGTTGAAACAGCTACATAAAAGAAGTCCTATCCAATGCACAAATTTCTACAGCATAGTGGTAATTTATAGGTAGTCTTACCCCCAGTTTTGAAGTAGTAGGTAATTTTACCCTGATTTTGAAGAAATTGATTCCCATATTCAAACCGACAGCCTATGGTTCGGAAAAATAAGCATTTGCCATGGTTACTAGTTCCATGCTCATTAGTTTCAAATTGAGCTTCCTGCTTAAAGCTTTATGCATCATGATCATCTATGAACATTTAGCAATACCAATGTTACTTTTACAGCCATACTGCTCTTTTATTCTTTTTCTTATATAGATTCTCACTATAGCAGCACATGTGTGAGTGTGTGTGTTCCAGTAATGAAGTTTACAATGAATTCTCACATAGGCATAGGAATAAGAGGACTAGATAATCTATCAAATAGCTAGGGTTTGTAGCACCTTGTATATATATATATATATATATATATATATATATAGATAATAGGGTGTCTGAAGAAATGCATAAAATAATCTTAGATTACCTGAAATTATGAACTCTTTGCCGCCAAAACTACCAGAAACTCCAAAAACACAGACACACATTAGCATTGGAGTGACAGTTATGTTTACCTGAAATTTGAATATCCACGGGGCCAAATTCCCTCCATTTCCAACATCAGGCCTTTGTCTCTACACCAAACAAACTCTTCACTCATTTCTCTGTCATCCTCGTCATGAAACTCCTCAAAACCATACATCCTCTCTGACGATCTCGACACCTTTGCCTTCTTTTCCGGCGATATCTCAAATATTCCGGCACTGGCACCCAAAACAGATTGAATTACGTCGCTCGGAATTCCATGGTTAACGAGCTCAAGGCAACCAATTAGCGCAGCCGAGTCCAGAATTTCCAAAACTGAGCTGTTTTCGACTGAGTTTAACGATTGGAAATCAAGTTTTGGCGGATTCTGGATTGATTTTTGTTGAGGGAAGATATGATCGGGGAGCACGAGGTCTGGTACTTGGAGAGAGTGCTCCAGAAATTCGGTGAGAACTTCGTTGTTTGTGAAGGATGATCGGCGGCCAGAGGCTATTGGTGATGGCGGTGGGGCACGGAAATCGATGGTGTTTTCTGGCAATCTTTCCGGCGATACTGCCATATCGAATAGTAACAGTCTCTCTCTCTTTCTCTCTGTCTGAATGAATGAATGAATGAATCGTTCTTAATTCTCTCACTATGTGTGTCTAGTGTCTACAACTACAAGTCTGTGTTTCTGGCTCCATAAAGAAAGAAAAAGAGGATGAAGCAGTAATGATGGCATGTCCCGGAGGTGTCCTACAATTGGAGAATCAGCATGTCCTTCGCTTTTTCATCTTTGCCTTTTCATCTTTTTCTTTACACATCTGACATCTTCCTGTTACTTAAAACCTTCTCTTCAATTGCAAGTGTTGTCCAGGCTGACATTCATGGGGTCACAGTCGCACAGTAGTACCGAAAATGCTACTTTGATTAAATTTAAAGACTTAATCTGAGGACCTAATTGAAAAAAATTATTAGATTGAAAGTAAAATCCATCTAACATTGAAACTTATGAAGATTAATACCTTCTGCATAGTTCAAGATACCTTTTAGCTCACTTTGTTTTTTTTTTTGGGTAGGATACTGAACTGTTCATAAGCTGCAACCACCAATCTTCTTGGTGTTTTTTTACCCTGAAAGTTAATATAAAAAAATGTTATCCTATAACCATGAAAAAAAAAACCCTTGTGTACAAAACTGTCGTCACAGTGAAGTTTGGAGAGAATCCGAAAAGAGGTGACATTTGATTGTCCACCAAAAGCGAGACAGTAAGCATTCAACCAAAATTAAGTAGATTCGCAAAGAAAACTACACACTAGCGGTCCAAGGTCGAGCCACTGTGGTCTGGGCTTGGGATATGGGTTAGCGCTGGTGCAAACCAGATCATAGGCCTCTTCAGCTATGTGGACTTCTGTTTATAAGTTAGATTAACCCCTTTCTCCTTGCACGCATACACTTTCAGAAATAAATAACATTTTACTCCTTTTGTATTATGCCTCTTCAACTCTTTGATCTCCTATTATTCGAGGAATAGCTACATACCCCTCGTATGAAAGTGTGGGGTCTTGCTTGGCGCGAAGGTTGCTAGTTCGGGGGTATAGTACATTACTAAAGGTCCTTGGACTTCCAGACAGTTTTTCTTTTGGGCAGCTGTTCACTGTTGGATCTTGCCAATACAGCTTGTTATAGACTACAGTGTACAGTAATGAGTTCCCTCCCAATTACAGCCGTGTACTACTTGCTCATATTCCAGCAATTTTGCTTGAAAATATGTTTTCCCACCTCCAAAATGTAATTGGCTTTCAACGATTTAGCAAGTTCTTAGTGCCAAACAAATCTACAGTGCAAATGTCACTAACCGAGTTGTACACTCCAGCAAAACCTAAACAAGCTCTATGTTGCCTTACATGGATCCTCAGAACCACGGCAGAAATCATATAGAATCAAGACAACCCATCTTACATCCTGTAAGCAAAATTTACAGATCCTAACAATAGCGGTGGAGTAGAAATTTGTCAGGAAAACCCGTTAAGCATCCATAAAATTGATGTTGTAGCGGCGTGCCAACCGGTTAGCAGTTCCATCAGTCAAGACACCTTCTATCAGCTCATGCTTTTTGTAATTGGCTTTCAAGGTCTCTGACTGCTGATTTGCAAGCTTCTCTTCCTCTGCCAGTTGACTCTACAAACAAAATATTGAAATTTTGAAAAATTGAACTATGAGGCAACAAGATATTTAAAGAAACATCCACTGAAGAAATGTAATGCAAAAAGGAACACCAGAGTTTACCTTGAGCAGGAATGAAGCTTCCGAAGCATGTTTTCTGACAAGATGCTTAATCTTCTTTGCAACCTCAAAAGCAGGGTCAGTTCGGTCTAGCCAACAGCATTGTATTCTTCTACCAGGCTTTCTTGGGCGCTCGTCAAACATCTCCACTTCAGCAGCACGTGCTCTCACAGGCCTTGGCATCCCAGACATCATGAATGGAAAATTGGCCATCTCTTCGACTATTTGTTTGGCCTGCTTCATATTTTCCATCTCCACCAAAGCAGCGCGTGGGATATTCTTTGAATCTGTGTAGTTTGGAATGAACTGAACACTGCAGACGTTCCCAAACTGATTAAGTGCAGTTTTAAGAACAGCTTCTGTAACCAGAGGTGAGAGGCTGTCAACATAAACAGTCCGTCTCACCTTCTCTTCAAATGCAGCATACTCTGCTTCAGCTGAGGATTCCATTGTGCTGTAGTAAAGCCAAATCACCATTACACAACAAGTAGAACAAAAATTTCCAATATCAGAGAATTCACAAGTCTACCAAACTTTTCAATCCACTTTGAAACTGAAGTATCAAAAAAAAGTCGTTCAAGTTCCACAATATGCCCCTAAGATCACCCAATGAACAAGTCACCACAAAGAAAGATGTTTAATGCATGCTGCCCGAAGAATACAAGGGCCAGCAGAACCACCCACCAAGCAAAACAATACAGGGACATCGATTCTTTTGCATTGCTCAACCATTTTACTTGCAAACAAGCCAAACACGAAAAATGTGTTGGTTTTTTTTATGGAGTCTAGTTTGTATATGTGATCCGGATGATGACCCGACCCGAAATAATGTTGTGTGGTTTTTAATGGAAAATTTTCTGAGGCTTAGTCCATGGAGCGAAGGCTTGGGCCGATAGGCCCAAGCCGTACCCCGAGGAAAATTTTTTTGGGCCCGTTATACAGCCCAGTGCGTAGGACATATAAACTCTGTTGTTTTGGTGATTAGGGTTTATTGTGGATTGTACAGCCGCTCTCTGTATTCAACTCTCTCAATAGTGAAATCCCTGCAGCTTCGTGGACGTAGGCAAATTGCCGAACCACGTAAAATCTGTGTCTTGTTCTTTCTTGTTTCTTATTGCTTTATATTCTTGATTTGTTCTTCGATTGTGTGTGTTTGTTAGTGGATTTAAATCGTGTTAAATCCCAACAAAATGCACACAATTGCCACAGGTTGAAGATTATGTGGACATGGATGTAGAAGCGAAGCATCAATCAGCCAAACAAATTTATCAACACTGACAGTTTATCGCTCTTCAATATAATGAATATATCTTAGTGCTAACAAGCCCATCCCAAATATTACTAAAAGAGAATTGGGAAGCCTTCAAAATAAGCTGTAAAAATCCAACTACAAAACCAGTCATCTTATAGATCAATAAGCAATGGATGTCAAATGATATTCACGCCATAGATACTTGGTTGCAACTGCAAGCATGGAGAGAGAGTTAAGAACATCAGTACAGATAAATGCTGATCTATACCTAAGTTAGAGAAGTACAATAGGCTTATATTTTTATAACACCAAATCAAAAAAGAAACACCGGAATAAGCGGGTTTAAGGAAACACCAGCTCAACTTTGGATTTTGGTTGGTTATGGATAGCTCATACCAAAGGCTGGACAACACATTTTTATTTAGACGAAACTGGAAAGAATTGAAAATCAATAAATGGAAAAATCAATTAGACTGAACAGAGGTTGAGGGACCTCCAAGCTGATTTCCAAGCTAACAAAAACATGAAAACCCTTTAGAGTGATGAAGACAAAAGAGAACCAAAACACATCCTGTAATTTTAGATTTTTTTGTCCACAACATTGCTAAAACAAACTGCAACGAATATGTTGAATCAATCTATCAAAGGGACTCTATGTTTCAAAAACTCATTAGGAAGCATCGACTCTTCCAATAATTCGGCTGTTATTTAGCCATCAACGTAGAGCAATGTCAACAAATACTTCCTGGTCAATGGTGGCAAAGCTCCAAGAACCAATAACAAAGAATCCAAAATTAATATTGATTGTTTCTATAATCCATTAATTACTTTCTATTTTAATTGAGAACTCATGAACAAGAATTAGAGTGTGCCTGCAAAATCCAGGAAACCTAATTGAGCAAAAATGACAGAGAGTAAGAGAGTGTCTACAATAAAAAATTCAGAACCCCAAGAAACAATTGAGTCATTATTTGAATCCTATGAATTCATAATAATCTTATCATCCATCTAGGGTTTCCTTAAAATATAAAAATCTAGAGTTTCCCTTAAAATCTAAGATTCGCTACAGTGGTATAGGGTGGTGGGTGTTGGCAGACGAGGGTTGTGAATGGCGGTGGTGTGAGAGAATAATCAGTGAGAGGGAGTGGAGGAGCAGAGAGAGAGAGAGCGTAACCTGAGCGAGAGGCACTGGCAGATGGGCGAGCGGTGTTTTGCGGCGACCTGAACTGCTGGGGGTTGGGCAATGCTCAGGGCTGGACTGTACGTTCGCTGTCTTAGGGGGAAGAGTGAAGAGGCAGATAAGGAGAGAGGGAGAAAGGGGGAGCAGAGCCTCTGCCGTTGGAGAAAACCGCATGTCACGCGGTTAAATAAAATGGTGCCGTTTTGCGTCATTTTAGAATTATTTTTTTTTAATTCGCCTTCACCAAAAACGACACCGTTTTTTGTCCTTCCAAATCAGACCCAACAGCATTCACAAAACCCACAAAATAAACCAAAACCCTAAATGGTGATCAGCATCTCTAAGACCACGATCAGCTTCTCCAAGACCACAATCAGCTTCTCTAAGAGGAAGATTAGCAACTCCAACACCAAGACCAAGATCATCCATCTTGGTAATATTCATTTCTGAGATTCATTTTGTGCCATTTGAAGTGGGTCTGCTCTTGATTTTTCATATTCAGTTCATGAAAGTATATAAATTTGCGCACACTTGGTTGATAAAATCGCACAAATGTAAAATTTTTATGAGAAAAATAAATAAATAATGGAGGTGTTGGAGTGAGTAACTGATTTTCTGCATCCTCTGGTAGTGGTATTTTAAGTAAACTTAAGTCAGTCGTCAATTGTTGATTTACCTCATTTTTTTAGTTTTAAATGTGCTGACACATGAAGATAGTGTATATCCCCCCAAAAAAATTTGTACTCAAAAAATACTTAACATTTTGTTCCTGTAGCTATTCTGTCGGAAATCTTTTTTTTTTTTGTATTCAAGTCACAACAGTATACTTAATGAGTTCAAGTTGGGTTCTTGTGGTACTAGTAGGAAATTTCTAAATTTTGGTTCTCTTAGATAAAGTTGAGGAAAAGGTTGCTGAAAGTGCATGAAAAAACATCTGATTAATGTGGCATTTTTTTAGTATTTTGTGAAGTAGGTTAATATTATGTTTTGAAAAGTGATGTATTATACAATAAATAACCCTTTGTCGTTTGTGAATGTGAATGACATTTTGAAAGGGAACTCATTGTTCACAGAAGTTTTTTAAACTATTGCATGTGTCATACCTAAAGCATGTTTGGAGGGAAAAAATATATGCTGATAGTTATGTCTGTGTTGTGGTTAGTGCTTGGAAACACTTCCACACACTAAAAATGATATGATTCAGGGAGTGAGTAACTGATTTTCTGACTTAAGTTTACCTAAAATACCACCACCAGAGGTGTTGGAGTGAGTAACTGATTGCTTAAAACTGATTGTAGTAAGAGTCATATGTTGCTTAAAACATGCTTGGGATTGCTTTGAAAATGCAGAAATATGTCACTTGCTGCTACTATGTTTGCTTTAAAAATGCAGCTGCCAAGTGAACTTTCAAAATGCAGCTGCTATATTTGCTGCTATTTTTACCACTCTCTTTTTTGAATGCTTCTGATGTGCTGCATTGATGAAATGAGTTGTTGTATTGATGGAATGGGTTGTTGCATTGATGAATGAAGATCATTATCCTATAATGTTGAGGTTTAATACCATTGTCTTTTCATGTTTGTAGTGTTGAAGAATGACAACTTCAAGCACGGCAACAAGCAACCACGAATTAAGATATCGCAATATGCATTGCCCCATTTGTAGCAAAAAAGCGATTATCAAAGTTTTCGAATTTGAAAAAAATCCTGAGAAACTATATTACAAATGTCCAGACAATGACAAACACTTTTTTCAGTGGATGACTCCTATTACTCTTCCCTCCTCGAAAATTACAAATGAGAGGATGAATGTACGACGAATTGAAGATAATGTACGACGAATTGAAGATAATTTACGACGAATTGAAGACAATGTCCGACGAATTGAAGACAATGTACGATGAATTGAGGGTAACGATGGTTCAATGAAGTCAAAAATGTTTGTAGTCACTTTAGTAGTGGTGATGCTTATATTTGTGATTGTATTGAAGTAGAGTTATAAGAACAATGATGTAGTGATGAAACTTGTGTTGTAAATGAACTTCATGATTTAATTTGAATGAAATTGTGGGTTTTGTATATTGTTGTGCCTTGAAAGATCATATTCATAAAAAAAAAATCACATTCATTAAAGACGATCACATTCATTAAAGAAGATCACATGAATTAAAAAAAGATCAGATTCATTAGATGATTGAATCACATTCATTAAAAATACAACAAACATCCAACTGCTAAAGAGAACCAGCTACACATCACATCTCAACAACATCTCATATAACCTCCAAGCAACCCCTCAACTACCATCCTTCAAAGTCCAATAGGATATATCAACAGCTCAGCTGTAGACCAGTCAACATCAAACCAGGAACTCATCGAACTTAGGAACTTTAAAGTCCAATAACATCAATCAAAAGCTGGGCAAAAAGATCACATTCATTTTAAACTTGATACATATGTCAAAAAAGATCATATTCATTATAAATACAACAAGCATCCTTAAAATACAAAATGATCCAAATAAGCATCCTCCAAGCATCCTTACAAGTTGAATCCCTCATTCATGAAAAATGATTCAGCATCATTTAAAAAATGTACATGTGTTGAATTAGTCGGAGTACCCTACAATAATGAGATTATTTCAAAAAAATAAACTTGATACATCTATCAAACAATAAAATTAACAATAAGATAACATACCATAATACTTTGTACACTATTTGAAGCTTGAGAAGACATCGAATGACCATATGCTGATGTACACGGGTGACTAAAACCTTGTAATTGAGAAAAAAAATAATGTTTAGTCAAATATAAAGTGAATAAAAATATACAATATGTGATGGTTGGGAAGCTCTTTTTTTTCTCTTTGTTGCTTTCTCATGCCAGATTTTAGTCGGCCCTAACTCTTGTAACCACCTTCTTTTCTTTTTAAATCTTTAAATTGGAGAAGGCTTGGGTCAACATTTTCTATTAGACTTGGGTCAACATTTTTATGGATTGAATCATCGCCACCATCTCCAATTGATGCATACATACTATCCACTTCTTTGAACAATTCCTCAACACCATGTGACACTAATTGATATGCAGGTTGAAGACCAGAGCATCGAGCAGCTAGTTGTACTATTCTAGGACAAAGTTGCCTATAACATGATGCCACCATTAACTTCAGATTCTCTTCATTTGACATTAAAATGGGGATTGTCCTAGAACTCTTTTTTGCATCTCATCTCTATCTCTTATATATGTATTGCTCGAAAATTTGCTTAATATTTATCGTGTCCAAGACTTTAAGTGCATGGCCACATAATATTTCCTCCATTTCAAACTTTCGACAATTGCAATTGACTATCTTCTCATTAGCCTTAACCAATACCAAATACTCTCTATGTTTATCATATAATCGAACCACAAATTGATGTCACTCATCCAACACATCACATGGTGTCGTAATAGCACACTGAAAGATTTCATACTCCTCTTGGAACAGGTCAAACATAGTAGGAGTGTACACTTGCCCTACTTGCACTAACATTGAAGCTTTTTTTAACTTCAATCTAGGTAATTTTTGCCTACCTTAGTATTCTGAGTCTAACTCCTTATACCGCTTATCATTCACAATTCTTTCAAAATGTACAAAGAACTAAACAATGTCGTGGTCTGGATTTAAATGCTTCCGTAAGGCTGCATTCAAGCTCTCACTCAATTGGGTGCTTCTCATTCTTGCAGTGAAAGTCCTCTTCATATACACATGCCCCCATTTTTCTCGCAATGCCTAAGTGGCTTTCATCCACATATTATCATGCAAACTATACTCTGCAAGCAACGATTCTCAAGCCTCAAATAATTCATGTTCTTCCTCATATCCATATACACACTCTTTAAATCGAGCAAAAAATTGAGAACCATCTTTATATATGTTCCCCAAATATTTCAACGCATTTTGGCAAAGATACCAAGTACATAGTCCATGGTATGTCTCTGGCATGACTATAGAAATAGCCTTAGTCATCGCTTGATCTTGGTCAGTGAAGATGGTAATAGGAAATTTTTCAGACATAACTTGTAGGAATGTCTCAAACAATCACTGAAATGATGCTGCCGTTTTATCATACAATAATGCAGCTCTAAATAAGACTGTCTTCCTGAAATGATTGAAGCTAGTAAAACAAGCAAATGATCGATACTCCTTGTTTATTCTGAAAGTAGTGTCAAATGAGATAACATCTCCAAAGTTGCCATAGTCAATAATCCTCACTGGGTCGGCCCAAAAAATATTAGTAATATGCTCCTCCGCATCCAATTGCACTCCATAATAGAATGATGGATTTTTCACTGTTTCTGTTTGAAAATACTTCAACAAACTACCCGTCTCACCATACTTCAAGTCTTGTTGCCTCCTTTTACGGAGGTAATTCTTTTGGTCAAGACGTGTAAAACCAAGACTTTCATTTCCTCCAGACTGAGTACTTAAAAGATCATAAGAAGCCTTAAGTGACAATTTACAATCCGCTGTCATATCAATATTAATGTCTTGGGCTTCGATAATCTTTCGTTGAGATGACATTATATGCATACATTCAGCAAGGTGCAAATGATGGTTGTGGTTGTCGTCCCACTTCGTCACAACAAATTTATCAATTTCTCTATTAAGAGATATGCACATATGAGCTTCACAATTTGTTCTTGTCTCTGCTCGAGGCTTCCTTATTTGGTACTCTCTTTTATCACGACTCCTTTGACCTTGTTTACAACAAACATATTTTTTGTAAATGACAATACCATCTTTTAAACTTTTATTCTAAAAATCTTTTCTCACACTAAATCCCACAGACCCTCCATAACTACTGTAAAACGCATAAGCATCTTTCTCCGCATCAAATTGCATACCAATATGAGGTATATTCTCAGTCGAATTAACTCCCAAATCATCCATCATAGTATCCTACAAGAAGAATTTTGTAAGGCATTTGGTTCAATATGTTCGAAAATTTTTCCTCTAATTTTCCCAAGAAAACATGGTAAGAAAGTGGAGGAATTTGGATGACATATAATAGCGAAAATTAAATTAGCTCACCTCAAGATCTTTGAGTTCGAAATACGCCTGCCAGTAGCTATAAGAAGCGTCTCCTTCAAGCGTTGAACAGTAATCTGAACATTATCAGTACACCAAAACTACAAATTAATAACTTAATACACAAATTATACTCTTAAATTAATCGAGCGTAAAACAGAAAATACGGAGAAGATCGCAATATAGAAGTCTAAAATTTATAGAAAATTTTATCAAATAAAAAACATCAAATTCCTGATTATACACACAGAGATATATATATATATATATACACACGAAAGTTATGGATCGAAGCACGTACTATATATATATACACGAAAGTATGTATACATGCATAGTAATATAGAAAGGTATATGTTTTTGAGCCAGTAACACATTTAGCAAAACAATTAATTTATAAAAACAAACCTCATATTAAACTTATCGGCTTGGAGTTGTAAGATTCTTTCCAGCCCCTTGGTTTGGTTATTTCTTTTTGGATCTTGAATACAATAACAAGCAAGACTAGACTAGTTTGAGGTTGATGGTGAACCTAACTCCAGTTGGTAATTTAGCAGGTAAATGAAACATAAATTATTCTTTCAGCTTATATTATCATTGGTAAAAAGATTGCTAAAGATTTGAATTATTAGAAAAGGACCTACTTTGTACCTGGAACTAATAGAGTTTGATGAAAAAGAAGCGGGAGAACAAGTGGAGTTTGATGAAGAAGAAGCGGGAGAAAGAAAAGGGAGACAGCCGAAGTTGGTTTTAACTGGACCAAAACGACGTCGTTTTGGTAAGGAGGAATAAAAAAAAAATTCCAAAACCAAGTGGAACGACACCATTTTATTTAACCGCATGACATGCGATTTTTCATTTACCGCAGAGGATCTGCTCTTGGGAGAAATGGGGGTTTGGCTCCTCCGCGGTAAGGAGGTTACCGCATGTCATGCGGTTTAATAAAACGGCACCGTTTTAGGTGTTTTTTGTAATTTTTTTTTTAACAACCCTTGCCAAAAACGACGTCGTTTTTGGTCCTTCCCCCATCTTAAATCCCTTCTCCTACATTTGGCTTCTTCATACTGTGGCTGTCTTCCTCTCCATTGAAGATTTGATTTTCTCCTGGGTTGAATCCCAATGGTCTATTTCCATAGCTCAATTTCGGTTGACCAACACATCGTCATGGCCAAATCTGTGAACTCAACTGACCCGTGTTCCAAATTGAGGCAAATTAATCAAGTGCACAAGAATAAGAAGACATCCAACTCGCCAAATCATCTTAGTATTCCTTCTTGCCGACAATCTCGATCGACTGTGATCCATGTGATAATCTTCATTGCTTTTATTGGTGCTCGTGGGTTTCTACTATATCCATCTATGAAACTTGTGTTGTTCAAAACTGTAGAAATTGTTGAAGTAATTGTTTATGTGGTGAAAGATGAGATTTTTCAGGCTCTGATAATTTATGAGCGTTTAGGACTTAGGAGGAGGGAGAGAGAGACAGAGGGTAGGAGGAGAGAGAGGAAGCGCCTTACTGAGACTGTAAGGGATTTCAGATGGAGAGGAGGCAGCCAAAGTTAAAGAAGCTGAAGGATTTGAAGGACTAAAAACGACGTCGTTTTTGGTAAGGGCTGTTAAAAAAAAAAATTGTAAAAAACACCTAAAACGGTGCCATTTTATTAAATTGCGTGACATGCGGTAACCTCTTTACCGCAGAGCAGCTAGACCCGGAGAAAGGATCGCTGATGCCAAAGCGAGCGAGAGAGGGGAGAAGATGGAAAAAGTGCCTGTTTTTATAACTGGGCTAGGCCCAATATTGGGTCCAAATCTGTCTGTTTTAGCTGCCCAAAACTTACAGTATGGATGCCCAATGGGCCAATGATTTAGGTATACCAAAAATAAGTAAGGGTTGTTATGGCATCGAATTCAAAATCAATTAGCAATAGATGGCCCAAATGAATGCTCCATTGATTAGATGTTTTGATGGACCAAAAGAGATTCATCTTTTATAAATGTAAAATGGACTCAGCTTTACAGTTTGACTTTGACCAGAGAAGTGAATCAGGTAATGAATAGGCCGAAGAGTTAGGTAGCAACTGTACTGATCCAACCTAAAGACATGGATGGGCACTGAGCAGCTTGACAAATGGTTAGGGTAAGGATTTCTAAGAGCTCTCCTTGTGGGCCACTCTCCACCTTGGTAGAAAATTTTGTCTACGGGCCACATCAGATATATATCTAATGAATCATGGGGTTTGGACAAAGTATCATTATCCCTAATAAAATATCAGCCCGATTGTTGATCATGGATTTATTGGTTCAATATGAATTTTGAGTCCAAAACCGTCTACGTTTCTAGCTGCCGGTGACCCGAGAGTGATGGTATGGATGCCCTATGGGCCCATGGAAATGGCATATGAGACATAAGGGTCCTGCTTGTTGTAAGGTCGAAGTACCATTTGTACAAATAAAAATCTCATTCGTTACATAATTTCTTCTCCATAGATAGAGATGGGATTTATGGGACAATTACTTAGAGTGCATTTTGTGTTGTAGTCCTTCTTATTTGATAGAAAAAGATTTCATAATCCTGAACCGATCTTACCTGGAATTACAAATCCCAAATTTATCTACGAAGAGTAGATTTAATTGTATTATTGTCTATAATTATTTTATTCTATGTAATACAAGTCGATAGAGCCTCATTGGTAAGTGCTGCAAACTCTCATGAATTGGAAGTCATGGTTATGGACTCGAATCTATTAATATGAATCGTTAATGCGTATAATTAAAATCAATTAGTGATGGATGAATAGTCCCAAAACATTAAAAAAAAAACAAGTTTAGAAGACTCGCATGTTAAGAGATAGACAAAAGGTTCAAAAGACAAGATCCAAATATTATACTATAGTATAAATTTTGGCACAATCAAAGGAGTATTAATTGAAATACATTAGAAAATCTTGCCCAAAATCCTCATATACCTAGTATTTTTGGCACGATCAAAGGGTACATATTAATCATATGAAATAAAGAACCTTAACCAAAAGGTTATACCTGGCATTGATATTATCTTAAAATATTCAACTAAGTCAATTGTTTTAGACATTATTACAGAAAGAGTGACAATAATATTCAAAGTCGCAATTTTAAAATTTAATAGCGAAGATGTTGATCAGTAATACTAGCGTTGGAAATAGAAGTAGATGTTTTTAACGTCGTTTTCTTTGTTCAGGGTGGCGGTAGAAATACTAGTCACCAGCAATGTTACTCTTTTGTCTCTATTCGGGTCAAAAAGTCAACAAATCTCAACAGCCCGATTTTGAAAGATGTGGATTTTTCCCTACATTTTTGACCCTCCAAATGTTCCTGTCTCCATCTTATAAGAAAAAGAGTCTTATTTTTCTTTTTAATTTTTTGATATAAATATAAATATAAATAAAGCATCTTTTGAATTTTAATCCTATCCATCACAAATTCAATACTTTACAGTTTATATATTATTGCTCTCCCAAAATTTCGATTTCACAGTTTAAGCTGTTCTCATTTTGCTCGTTCTTACTATCCGTCGGGTTGGAATCGCTTTTGTTAACCTAATAACAAAAGTTTCCTAAGGGAATTAGAATAGACTACTATAAAACAAACAGTCTTCTTTCTAAAGAGTAATACTAATAAGAGAGGCGCAATCGTATCGGTGGAATTCTTGAATTTGGAATGAAAAATTCTTTGAGGCATTGGATTCCCAAAAATCCTTTAACTACATAAAAGATACAATTTACATATAACCGTAGTCTAATGAGTCTTATGATGGGCCTTACAATCTTTTACTTTAACATTATCCTATCAAGCTAATTTAAATAAAAAAAAAATGTACCCCAAAAAGTCACAATCAAATTGACGTCTACAATGACTTACCAATAAACTTACTTGAATAAGTCTTATCATGGGCCTAACAATCTTTGACCTTAATGTTATCATATGAAGCTAACTTAAATGTGCCCAAAAAAGTCACAATCAAGTTAAACTAGATAATGACTGTAAATTTGTCAGAGTCCTAGATTTAGAGAGGCAAGTGTTAACAGATACACAATCGAAATTGCTCTAAGTTCGATATTTTACCATGATATACGAGTCTTCAAGTGTATAGCTTCAACTTATGTACTATTATGTTTTATACCTCATGTTTTTCAATTCAAGTTATTCTTAAAGTATGTAGCGTTCTCTCTTTCTTTTTTATTCTCGATAATTTTAATGATATTCATTTTCTATGATGGATATGGGATCATTTTGAAATACTATGGAATCGTAACAACAGCTGAACAATAACATAAGATATGGATGTATCATGCATGCATGTGAGTAGTTTTCATGTGCTGTTACCCGACACTAACAGCAACTGTAGCAGCATCTTTGAGTTGGCCCATTTCGTCGCAATGCATGCCAAAGCCTGACCTCATATTCACACATATTTTCTATTTGCTGTAATATATACTTGGAAACGGCTCCACATGGCCTCAATCTCAAAACTATTCCCAATAGTGTGTGGATGGTTGCCAAGGTTGAATGATAGGTTGGGAGATGGGGGCGTAGTAGCTCCCACGATGGTAGGAGTGCATTGAGGATTTTCAATGTATATTTTTCATATAAGTTATTCAAAAAATGAGTATACTACTATCAATAAATTTTTTAGTTGGAGGTCTTTATAACTAAGTAGTAACTTTATTAAGATTTTGATATAGCAAAATAATCAATTTCGTATACGTTCTATAGAATTATATAAATTTCGGTGTTGTTGTTCTTGATTGTTTTTCCTTTCTTAATTATTCACCGCTCATAATCAAATGACATAATAATCAAATGACGTCCTACCACAAACGTTAAAACCTTTGTAAACGTACGACTCTATTTACTAACTGTGATACACATCAGCATTATCACCACGTGATATTATCAACCAATAATATACAGACAAATAAAAAAGTGGACCTTACACAAATCAATAACTACAAGTAGATAATTACTCACTCTTCTTTCATGTAAGTCAATAACTAACCAAGTAGAGTTCACTCTTGTCTATTTGAGATTTTATTATTAGTTTGTGATACCGTGTCATCAATGCTGACAGAATATCACCTTTGTATTGAATATTTTCTTGATCTCTGACACTCTTGATCCGTGGAGAGAGAGAGAGAAAAAAAAAGAAATTAAAGAATCATAAGACATTTAGCACAAACATTAACACTATTCTAAATCATCTAACTCTAAATGGATTCACACTGGATAGACAGACTCACAAAGTTTGTATTCCAGTTTAGGAAGAACAATTATCCCTATGTAGACTAAAATATAAAATTGACATTCAAATCAGATTTTGACATTTTGATACAAAATGAAGTCTGAGAAGAAGACACATGATCACAATCTTTCTGAACACTTATTTGCAACTTGGAAACTTTTCGAAAATGACATGCAGGAGAAGGAATACCTCTAGCATAATTTACAGACGACGGAGGAGGATGAACAAACATAAAAACCACTTTTTTTCCTTGTGTCAACCAAGAAAGACCAATTCAAAGACCTTTGATAAAATGGTTTCAGTCACATATTAGTCAATCTCTTACCTACTTTTTTTAAAAGCAGAAGACTTTGAGGGTCTTTGAGGGCCATTGGGTCGGTGAACAACAAGTTTTAAGTCTCTTTGTTTTAGTTTTCACAGTGACCCTCATGGTCTGTATACTTGTTGCCTAGCTCATGGGTGACATCACAATGGGTAGCAACTGGTTGGCCCTTTTGAAACCGATGAATTTATAAAAGAATAAGCCATGGCTTACGTCTGTTCTGGTTGATAATATGTTCAAAGGGAAAAGGGTTAATCCAATTTTCAAACGAAAGAATAAATGCCTCCTCCTTGTGAACTTTAGATTTTGCTTTGCCAAATATAGTGTCACTTATTGTATTAATTTACAACTTACACCAACTATAGTTTAAAAAAATAGCAAATATAGTTAGAAAGAAAAGAAAAGTTTCATCCTTTCAGTCGGAAAAGAGCGGCAAGAGAAGGACGAGTCCTTCAGTCCATTAAATAAAGTGAAAAGGCCGATGAAAATTTGTTTAGTGTATGGTTCAAAGACATGTTTTTTTTTTTTGTTTTGCAGAGTTAAACAAATCACAAAACCGAAAGAACTTGACGAGGTTATACTGTTTTGAATACTACGTAGCTATGGATATCAATTTCTTCCTTCCAGTTAGATTTTGACTCTCAAGGCTTCCAAAATGTCGCTGCCACTAACCCAACGCAATTTAACACGAGTGGTCACGACTCTTTAAGATATCATAATTTTCATTATGGAAAATACTATTTAAACTTAAAAATCTGACATAATTTACTGACCTAATGACATGACTTTATTGAAATCATTAGATAAACATCAAGTTCCAATGTTTGATTATTGTCAAAAGGCTTGTGTGGAGAGAATTAATTAGTTTTTGTTAGAGTATGTGTGGCTCATATTTACTGTGTGCACAATGGCAAGGAGACAGATGCTGGAGGGGGCGGAGCCCGTGACGACATCTGCCTTGCG